AGGAAACCCGATTTGACATTCCTATCTTAGATTTTTATAAACTATCATTTGACATCAACTTTGAATTAAATCCATGATTAAAAATTTCAGTTAAATTTAATCTCCGTTTAAGTTCAAAGTTGGTGTCAAATGATAGTTTATCAAAATCTAAGATAGGAATGTGAAATCGGTTTTCCTCTAAAATTAACCAATTAGGTTTTACAGCTTGTCAAAGTTGCAAAAAGTCAATTTTCAACTGTCAATATTTCCAAAACAGTTGAACTTAGGTATAGGGTATATTACATGAAATCTGCTCAGAATTTTATGTAGAATCCAAAAATACATTAATATATGGGGTGTTCTATTTAAAATAACCGAGTTGGTATCAACTTCCGGTATGACCGGAAATGCCGCCATCTTGAAAATATTTTACCTGGATGTCCCCCATCGACATTGCTATGTTGCCAAATTTTCAAATTTTTACCTTTCACAGTTTTCCCATAAGCAATCGATGTCATTCCCGGAGGACCACCCGGTATAGATCCCGAAGTTTTTTTCCATTCTGACACACCAACATGTAAACGTGAAGCCAGCAGTCCCCTAATAATTAGAAAAAAAAATCTGTAACTCAGTTAATAATTAATCAATTCTATTTTTTCTTCGACTATTTATAGGAGCACCTAAAAAGCACCTAATTCTGATACAAAAAAAAATTGAAAAATATTTTCCACTATAGGGGACTACTAGCTTCCATAAACCTAGCAATCCCTTATTTTTTTTTTTTTGATTTTCTCAAAAACTAGAGGAACACCTGATTTTTAATTAGAGGCTCTAATTAGCACCTAAAAAGCTCCTAATTATTATATAGATCCCGAAGTTTTTTTCCATTCTGACACACCAACATGTAAACGTAAAGCCAGCAGTCCCCTAATAATTAAAAAAAAAAATCTGTAACTCAGTTAATAATTAATCAATTCGATTTTTTCTTCGACTATTTAGGAGCACCTAAAAAGCACCTAATTCTGATGCAAAAGAAATTTTTGGAAAAATATTTTTCACTATAGGGGACTACTAGCTTTCATAAACCTAGCAATTCCTTAGTTTTTTTTGATTTTCTCAAAAACTAGAGGAGCACCTAATTTTTAATTAGAGGCCCTAATTAGAACCTAAAAAGCACCTAATTATTATATAGATCCCGAAGTTTTTTTCCATTCTGACACACCAACATGTAAACGTGAAGCCAGCAGTCCCCTAATAATTAGAAAAAAAAATCTGTAACTCAGTTAATAATTAATCAATTCTATTTTTTCTTCGACTATTTATAGGAGCACCTAAAAAGCACCTAATTCTGATACAAAAAAAAATTGAAAAATATTTTCCACTATAGGGGACTACTAGCTTCCATAAACCTAGCAATCCCTTATTTTTTTTTTTTTGATTTTCTCAAAAACTAGAGGAACACCTGATTTTTAATTAGAGGCTCTAATTAGCACCTAAAAAGCTCCTAATTATTATATAGATCCCGAAGTTTTTTTCCATTCTGACACACCAACATGTAAACGTAAAGCCAGCAGTCCCCTAATAATTAGAAAAAAAAATCTGTAACTCAGTTAATAATTAATCAATTCTATTTTTTCTTCGACTATTTATAGGAGCACCTAAAAAGCACCTAATTCTGATACAAAAAAAAATTGAAAAATATTTTCCACTATAGGGGACTACTAGCTTCCATAAACCTAGCAATCCCTTATTTTTTTTTTTTTGATTTTCTCAAAAACTAGAGGAACACCTGATTTTTAATTAGAGGCTCTAATTAGCACCTAAAAAGCTCCTAATTATTATATAGATCCCGAAGTTTTTTTCCATTCTGACACACCAACATGTAAACGTAAAGCCAGCAGTCCCCTAATAATTAGAAAAAAAAATCTGTAACTCAGTTAATAATTAATCAATTCTATTTTTTCTTCGACTATTTATAGGAGCACCTAAAAAGCACCTAATTCTGATACAAAAAAAAATTGAAAAATATTTTCCACTATAGGGGACTACTAGCTTCCATAAACCTAGCAATCCCTTATTTTTTTTTTTTTGATTTTCTCAAAAACTAGAGGAACACCTGATTTTTAATTAGAGGCTCTAATTAGCACCTAAAAAGCTCCTAATTATTATATAGATCCCGAAGTTTTTTTCCATTCTGACACACCAACATGTAAACGTGAAGTTAGCAGTCCCCTAATAATTAGAAAAAAAAATCTGTAACTCAGTTAATAATTAATCAATTCGATTTTTTCTTCGACTATTTAGGAGCACCTAAAAAGCACCTAATTCTGATGCAAAAGAAATTTTTGGAAAAATATTTTTCACTATAGGGGACTACTAGCTTTCATAAACCTAGCAATTCCTTAGTTTTTTTTGATTTTCTCAAAAACTAGAGGAGCACCTAATTTTTAATTAGAGGCCCTAATTAGAACCTAAAAAGCACCTAATTATTATATAGATCCCGAAGTTTTTTTGCCATTCTGACACACCAACATGTGAACGTACGTAAAGCCAGCAGTCCCCTAATAATTAAAAAAAAAATCTGTAACTCAGTTAATAATTAATCAATTCCATTTTTTCTTGGACTATTCAGGAGCACCTAAAAAGCACCTAATTCTGATACAAAGAAAAAATTTAAAAAAATATTTTTTACTTTAGGGGACTGCTAGCTTTTATAAACCTAGCAGTCCTTTAGTTTTTTTTGATTTTCTCAAAAACTAAAGGAGCACCTAATTTTTAATTAGAGGCCCTAATTAGCACCTAAAAAGCACCTAATTATTATATAGTTCCCGAAGTTTTTTTCCACCTTGGGACTGCTAGGTTTATAGACCTCTGAAAATTTCAACTCATTTGGACCTATAGTTCCGGAGATAAAATCGTGTTAAGCAATTTGGGGTGATTTATCAATTTTTCTGAGTGCCTTTTTAATAGATTTCGGTTTCAAATTTGAGAATTATTTAGTGTATGGAGTTTGAGGGATGTTGATTGACCATTAGGATACAAAATCTCAAGAAAAAAAAATTTGAAATTTCATCGTTTTAGTAAGAAGCTACCTTATGATTTAGATTTTAGAAAACTTTGAAAGGTCATAACTTTTTTTCTATTATAGATAGAAAGCTGAAACTTTCACTGACTTTCATCCCTTTCAAAGGACTACAATCCCTGAAAATTTCAGCTCATTTGCACTTATAGTTCCTGAGATAAAATCGTGTTAAGCAATTTGGGGTGATTTATCAATTCTTCAATTTTTCTGAGTGACTTTTTTCATAGATCTCAGCTTCCAATCTGAGAATAATTAAGTGTATGGAGTTTGGGGTATGTTGATTGACCATTAGGATACAAAATCCCGACCAAAAAAAATTTGAAATTTCATCGTTTTAGTAAGAAGGTACCTACCTTATGATTTAGATTTTGGAAAACTTTGAAAGGTCATAATTTTTTTTCTATTATAGATAGAAAGCTGGAACTTTCACTGAATTTTATCCCAATCAAGGGACTATAATCCCTGAAAATTTCAGCTCATTTGCACTTATGGTTCCTGATATAAAATCGTGTTAAGCAATTTGGGGTGATTTATTAATTTTTCAATTTTTCTGAGTGCCTTTTTTCATAGATTTTGGCTTAAAAGAATAATTTAGTATATGGAGTTAAGGGGATGTTGATTGACCATTAGGATACAAAATCCCAACAAAAAAAAAATTGAAATTTCATCGTTTTAGTAAGAAGGTACCTACCTAGGGGTGTTCCACTGACTAAATTTATGTACAAGTATTGCGAAATGTATGGTACTGCAAGTACTGGCAGGTTCTACTACTGTAAGGTACTGCAAGGTATTTGTGTATTACTACATGTAATATCATGGTATTATCCACGTATTGTCAGTATTGTTAAGGTATTAACTCAGACTGTGAAAGATTTTCAGTCGAGTTTTTAGTATGTACTGAACAGTCATATTTTTTACTTTCATTAATTTTATTTGTTACGCCAATGATTGTACCTGTCATCAAACTAGAAATCTGTAAATTTCGTTCAAATCATTGTTTCACGTCGACTCGTGACGATGGCGCGGATGTAAAGGCTAGAAGTGAGAGAATCAAAGCGAGTCGACTTTTCTAGACGCTTGTCTGTCCACCATTATTGCGATTTCTACCTTCGTCGTAATCATTAAACGGTTGTAAAATTGAACCATAGTTATTTGTTTCACTAGGCAGAAAAGTACAAGATTTAATGCCGCGGCTGGTGTTTCATAGCCGAGGCATTAAATCTACTTTTCTGCCATGTAAAACATATAATTTTTTCTCCGAATGTTTAAATTCACACATGGATATCTTTTTTATATTTATTTCATTCATTATTATTATCCAAATAATTAAATTATTTTGACAATTGTCATTGTCACCATCAATTTCAAATACCAAATTGAGTGAAATTTTTACCTGGAAAGTTGTGACACTGTCACTTTTAATGCCTAGGCAGTAAAAGTACACTTTTATTGCCTAGGCAGTAAAAATACAACTAGATCCTGGCAAGTGTCATTAAAAGGCCGCTTTTACTGTCATTCGGAGAAAATAGTATATTGTTGTATTAGGAGTAGAAGCTTTACTTTTTTGTGCTGAAGCGGTAGGTTTGCGAGCCGAACGTAGTGAGGCTTGCAATACTGCTGAAGCGCAAAAAAGTGCTTCTACTCCGTATGCAACACGTTATTTTTTCTTCAAACGAATAGGGTAAGCTCGGGGGCAAGTAAATAAAAGTACTTCTACTGCCGCTCCAGCGGCACTAAAAGTACTTTTGCTGCCGCTAGGGTTGCCAAGCAGCATAGAAATTAAATTTCTACCACCTTGACAGGTTTTAACCCGCTGGATTTGCCTAGCAGCATAGAAATCAAATTTCTGACATCTTGACAGGGGTTAACAAAGTGACGTTTTTCTGACGTTTGGAGAAAAAATATTTTATTTAACCCAACCCAAATGTAGGAATATTCTTTCAAAACTTATTTTGAAGCAACAGAAAACCTAGTAATCATGTACTATCATCATGGTCAGACGCACAAGAACCTATATTAAAAGAAACGTTTTCAGGTAAGCGTTTGACCAAAAACTATTGGATTTTGCTTATAATTAAACAGGACCTATCAACACTATCTATTTAATGGTTAAACTTAAAGGGCATACCTTCCAAATAACTAGGAAACAAGAAATGTTGGTCTTTTGTGAAATCTTGAATGACTGGCTCCAAGTGATTTTTTGATATGTTATACTTCCACATAGGTAAACTTATTTTCACATTCAACAACCTAGTTTTAATCTTGGTGGATATATGGATAGTATCCTGAATTACGACTGGCTTTTCAACATAGTACTTAGCCTGAAATGATAATTTACTAGTTATTTATACACCAAGTGAGTTAAATGAATGTTTATTCATGAGAAGAATAAACAATTCAACTCACGTGATGTATACAAAATTTTATCCCAATTTGTGGAAATTCAAAAAATAAAGTGTAAGGAAAAATGCCGAGAGTGATTTAAAAATATTTTAAATCACTGAGGTCCCAGACTTTTAGTTGGGCAGAGTGACTTAAAATGCCGAGAGTGAGTTAAAAAAGTTTTAAGTCACTGAGGTGATAAACGTCTACTTACCTTTACTGTTATGCGTGCAATAATGTCATTTTTAAACGTCAAAATGGGATAAAATATATTTTATGTCATACCAATACATTATTGTGTTTTTATACCTTAGATACCATCTACATAATTAATTACTTTATGCCCGTGCGGGCATAAAGTACATATTATGGCCCGCGCGGGCATAAAGACGCAAAAAACAGTTTATTTTCAACCACATATGTAATGTTGACATTGCAGGTTTTTCAAAATCTTGAAAGTGTCACATTTCTGGACTTTGACATTTATCGGGACGGTAATGCATATGCCTGCCTAGGACGGAAAAGCATTTTCCGTCCGGGACGGCAAATGCTTTTCCGTCCCCATTTCCCTGCTCGTTCCAAATTGATAATTTTCATACTGCTCTCACATATAATAATAAAACCACATGTATTACATGGAACTAATTAAATCTATTCACTTATTTACATTAATTGTTAAATTAGCATTGTTGTTTATAATGGAAATCTTGAGACCATCCTGTTGGAATTGTGTTTCGTTTGGAACTATTATCTCTTGCGCTTGCGGATGAGTTTCCGCATGTGATGTACTTGTGGATGCACTGGACAACTGAATACCTTTGGAAGTAGAGGATAGCATCAGAGCAGTCTTACTTTTGTTCTCCAAAGATGCCTCTATGTAGCCTTCAGCAACCGTGCTCGATTTCCACCCTCCCAGTCTTTTGAGTTGCAATAGATCGGCCCCGTTGTCAACCAATAAGGTTGCGGAAGTACGACGAAAAGCATGCCCTGTAAAAGTTTCAATTTTTGGAAGCTTCAAAAAAGCAGCTATTTTATGTGGAAATTTTGAGATTGAATGATAGCCAATTGCTTGGTTATGTAATTTCCCATTTCGCCATTGAACAAATAACCTGTCATTTTTCAAATTTTTCCGCAAAGTGAGGTATTTGTGGAAAATAGCAACCCAATCTGGATCGCTTATGATAAACGATCGACTTGTGTAAGTTTTTGTGTGTGGAATTTCTATAGCGATCTTTCCTTCCAAAACGTTGACGTGCTCCATTTTCATCTTGACTAGTTCATCGCTCCTACATGCACCCGACACACCAACAATTAGCGCTACCTGAAACCAGATAAAAATAAAATGGGTAACCTAGCTATAGCATACAGAAAATCATTTTGATTTTCGCATTTTTATCTTCTTTGTATATTTTTTGAAAACCTACCTTGATGCTAATGAATTCTTCAGCTGCCTTCGTGAGGAACTCGTTAATGTTTTCTCTGGAAAAAACGCTCGACTTTTTCGGCTGAAAGCCCAGATTTTGCCGCTTCAAAAAAGCTATAAGTTTTGCGTAATTGGAGATATCAACTTTCTCTTTCAATTTAATCATGGTTTTCAACATACTGTAAGTCGACCATAAAGTCGAAGGCTTCTTTTCCTTAGATAATTCGCCAAAATACGCCAACAAAACGGTCTCCGAGGCAGTATTTCTCGTTCCTTTCTGGCTACACCATGCTTCGAATATTTGAAAAGCCTTTTCGTACCGAAATTTGCTTTTTGCTGGAAGCAAACTCTCTCCAATCCTGTCTGCTGCTTCTTTTAATTCAGGTGGGGTACAATCCATCGCTTCATCTTCACTTTCCGAAATCATTTCTTTGGGGAGAACGGGGAGAAATCTAGTGAAAATCTATTATTTCCGCAAAAATACTGAGCGAAAACCACAAAACATCCCCCCTTAGAAAGGTAAGTGCCGTGTTGAGAACCTGTCTATAAGTTTTCAGCGCCTCTAGTGACTGGGGGGGGGTAAGCTTTTGTAATTCTGGATTTATTGGCGAATGCAAAACGCAATTAGGGTTCGTTCGGTATCTTATTTGTTCCGGTGGATCGTTTGCACCATTGTTTGATTCTAGCGATTCAACACCACCACTTTAAAGTTTCTACCATTTTTTGGCATAAAATAATTGTGCCAAAAAGAAGAAACTCATAAAATCGGTAGTGTTGAAGCTCCTGCAAGGTAAAATTGACTAAAAATTAAGATGACAAATTTAGATATTTATTAAAGTTTGAAACAGAAAATATTAAAGAATATGGAATTAATTACAATTATTGCGAAACAGTTTTTTTTCATGTAAGTATACATACATAGGTAGGTAATGCTAGTTAAGTTATAGATAATAAGGACAGTTACAAGAAGTAATGACGTACATTTAAGAATAGCTTGATGAAAAACTTAAATCGTAAATAAAATGACAAAAGAGGTCCTTTTCTCACAATCCAAAATCGTTGTTAACCTAACAAGTGAGGAAAGTGTTTCTGCACGTGATGGAAGTTGCACGAATGACAACAAAAAGCAGAGTTCAAACAAGCCTTTAAGTCCAGAAAATACACTTTCCGCATGTGTTAGGTAGAAAGTTTATGTAGTTATACATAATATAAAGCTCATTCAAGAAAATGATTTCGCCTGGATGATAGAATAAATATTTTTGATAATAGTCTATACCCTTTACCACTAGCTTTAAGCAAAGACAACGCCAACAACTTCTCGTCCAATGTAAATCGTCTAGCTTTAGGCTTTTGGTTTTGAGTACGGACTTGGCTTAAAATAAAGCTGTATATCAATGGATTGACGTGGTCTACGAGCCATTGAAATTTGGTTTATGATGCAAGTTATTCAGCAGTAGAAACTTTGGATTTAAATGACGACAACCTTCTACTGATTCTTCTTAACTTATTGCTGGATTCTATAAATTTGGAATAAAGATATTTTTCCCTTGGGGATAGGAATTTTTTGCCTAGTGACGTTAATGTTCTTTAAAATTTGGCATCGTCTCTCATGACCTGCAAAAAAAAAATAGATCAAGATTGGAGACCAGCTTTTCGCATATTTAGCTTCTAATTTTTCTAGCATTCGACTGCAAGTTTTAGTAATTAGTAGTCTTTTATAGTAGTAGTCCTACTTGAGTTAGGATGTTTTAAAATTCACCTACTCCCAACTGGGTGGTTATTCATTAAGCAATAACACTTAGGTAGGTACCTACCAATAAAAGTTTTAAGAGACAAAGTTGGTTGGTGACTTTTTCATGTTTGCAGATGTGATGGTTCCACTTGGTGTAGCAATGTCTGCCCGAATTGCAGAAGTTTCAGTAGATAAAAATTGACGACATGAAGGGCCTGGTTGATCTGAAACAGAAATTTCGTTACCAATGATTCTACCAAAAAAGTTTGGATACATGCATTGTAGAATATGGTGTACCTGTATGTAACCAGGAATATTTTAATTATTGTGTCTCCTGATAAAGGAATAAACATTTAAAAAAAAGAAATGAATAATATTAGCTTTGTTCCAACACAGCAGAAAACCGTACAAAGTACCGTCACGATTCTGCGCAGAAACTAAAATTGTTAACCTGAGTGGTTTCGAAACCGTTCATGGGACGATTTTTTGACGTGTTGGAACAGAGTTATTATGTTTACCTACCTATGTCAATCATAGTTGCGAAACTAATTTCTGAAGGCGTCTTAGGACTCTTCGACGAGTTTCAACTGTGTCGATCTCCACTTTTTGCCATTTTGGTGATTGTGGTTTATCAATTAACGACTCCTCACTGTTTTTGATAATTGGGGCTAAAATTAAAATTAATTTTAATGTTTCTGACCTATGCTCCTTTAAACCCGAATTCTAACACGTTGTCGTTAATCAGAACTATGGGGAGGAGTAAGTGAAAATGTAAGTACGTCTTTCTCACATATATCTAGTATTAACTTACCTTCAGGGAGATACAGCAAAAGCGCAGCATTCCATGTGAGTCCTCGTCTGGCTTTTGGATCGCCAACAATAAATTCTCGAGGAAAATGTCTTGTTCACGCTCTATAATTATTATAAGCCTTCTCGACACTGAGGCTATTTAGTAAAGGATTGCGAACTTTTTCTAGCCATTGTTTCATTTTTTCGGCATCTTTTGGAAACCGGAAATAGCTGCTGTATTTGTCGCCGCACCCCGGAACACAGCATTTCTAATGCTTTTCAATTAACAAACTGGGAGAAGACATTTTGAGATAATAATTATTGATAATTGATAGGTAATTGATAATTCTAAATGTTGGGAGAAGTTCAAAATTTAAATTTTGACGACTGGAAATGACAAAATAAACTTCAAATCTTGGCGCACGGGCCCGCAGGAAAAAGAAAACTCTAATAGGTTGATTGAAGCGCCTCTAGTGATTGGAGGGGAAAGCTGAAACGACTAGACTGACGTCTCTCATAAGACTTACATTTCTAAGGGGGGATGTTTTGTGGCGAAAACTACCGTCGTTAAGGCGTTGTTGATCTTATCTATGGTTGTTGATTTTGCGGTTTCCTGTGGTTTCGTCTTTTGTTTTGGCCTTTACAGGGCCTTTGAGATCGTCAAAATTGATGACATTGACAAAAAAAGTGAAATATTTTTTTCTAAGGCCAGTTTTACACTATATGAAAATTTCGTATAACAGAATCTTTAGTTTTTGCATCAGAAAATTAAGGGTTGAAAATAAAAAAGTATACAAACCTCGACGGAAAACTTCATTTCTGTCTCGAGGTTGAGTTTATCTCGACGCTTCGCGTCTCGATAAACTATAATAACCTCTCGACCAGCAATGAAGTATTTTCCGTCTCGGATTGTAATATACTATTTCAATTAACTTATTCTTTATTAACAAAATATAAATGTACGCTTATAAACATATTATTTTTGTCAAAAAATGACGATTTTGCACACTGATGACAATTTGCAAAGTGACGTTTTTTTCCCAGGTACCCATTTATTATTCACAACCAACTGGTATGACATAAAAGTTTGTATGCACCACGGGTACTAATAGATATATATACCCTCGGGCGACTTACGAACCCTCGGGCCAGAGGCCCTCGGCTTTGTAAGACTGTCGCCCTCAGGGCATAATCATCTACTTAGTACCCTTGATACATAAATAACTATAAAAGTCGTCTATGATTTAAATCTATAAAATAAGTAGGTATATAGCCATTAAACATAAATATGGTGTAATGTAGGTACACTGCACCATATATGTTTAATGCGGGGTTTAATGTTTACACTATGGCATAATTTATTTTATCCAACACATGACAGTTATGACTGGTATTATTAATGTCATTTCAGACAAGTAAACTATCAAATAACACACTAGTGTGTTATAATCCATAACTCACTAGTGAGTTATGGATTATAACTCACGTTCATATTTAAAGTAGTATTCTATTTATTTATTACAAGCTAAATTCACATTGATATTAAAATTAAAGGAAAACGCTAACGGTTTATTCGAATTTGAAGTCATTATAAAATTCGTTGGTTGGTTCAATAGAATATTTTCATCGATACCTTCAATCTTACGTGAGACTTAAACATTTTGAACTCCTTGTCGTAAGCATCTCGGGATTTGATTGGCAAAATCTGTATCGCTGCTTCTTCTGCTTCGGTAAGGATATCCTCAGGAACGTGATTTTCATCGGTTTCCTCCATTTTCTATTCGTTTTTTTCTTCAAAGAAGCTTCCCTTTTCTGCAGGGAAAGCTGACAAGTGTCAAAATGTATTTAAACATTTGCTAGCAATGTATGTAAAATGTATCATGCCCGTGGCAACCAATCAAACATCCTACTGTATGTGCTTTGACAAAAATATAAAAAAGTCACTGTCAAGTCATTCTGACATTTATAGGGTACTGAGACCAATGACATCATTAAGACGCAAGTAGCTTTGATTTGATCACAAAGCTTATTAATTATTATCTCATTAAAAAATTATATCTTCCACTTGTTGGATAAAACATTGTATGCCATTCGTGTGTTATGTTTCCTAAGTCACTTGAGAAGAAATCTTTCTCGCGTGACTTATTTTCAACATAACAGACTAGTACCATAAATAACTATTATCAATACCTATTAAATGATAGACCTTGTGACTACATACCTGAAAGTAAAGCAAATAAGGAGATGATGACTCGGAAGCTGGACAAGAAAATCCAGCTTTAATTCGCATTGCTTTCAAACATCAAGAATCTCCATCGGATGAGAATCCCTCAACTGAAATACCATTGGCATTAGCTTCCCTCTCGTTTTAAGTTGTGTGTGGAGTTTTTATTGATTTTGAGGATCCTGCAGCTTTATTTAAACTGTTATTTTTAGTTTTGAAGTGGACTTTGTAGTGCTTATTAATATTTCAGTTTTCCTGGGAGTATTCCTTTTTCATATGTGGTTAATATTTTTGATGTATAATTGCATTCTGGGCATTTGAGTTCTATGCTTTGGCTTTTAAGTTCTATTTTCGAATTTTTTAAATTAGATAAACTAGCCGATTTTTGATCATCAGGAAAAATAATTTCATTCAAAAATCGTTTAACATATCCTTCAGCAACTCCTCGTATATACGATAATCTGAATTTTCTTCTCTTCACTGAGGTCATCATTTCGAATATCTCCTTGTGATTGAAGTTCATTATTATCCTCTTGGCATTTCACTCTCTCACCAAAATTTCGCTTTCTTTTAATTCCAGTGACCTGAGATACTTTCGCTTTAAAATTTTTTTCAGTCAATAATTTGCATGCGTTTTTAAAAAGTGCTATCAATTTTAAATTTCCTTCTCCAATTTCAAAGAGAGATGTTTTTTTCGCATAAATACCAAAAAAGTTTAGTATCTCATTCTCACTAAGAAGATCTGTTAAATTATTTCTACCGAATACCTCCAATTTTTCAACATCTTCTTCTTCAATTAAAGCAAGAGCTTCAATGTTTTCAAATCCTCTCCAAGTAAGAAGTTGTCCCAAAATTTTCAAGAAACTGCAAATGTCCCAAATTTAGTTTTCCTAATATTTCTGAAAGTTTGTTTCTGTGAAAGATTTCCATAACTCTATTTAATCTAAAAGAAAAAGGCCCGATTTTCAAATAAGCCTAAAAACTTTCACACTCTATGACTACGCTTGAAACACTGATCAACTTACAAACAAATTACAAATGACAAATGACAATTAACAATAACATATTGTGCAATAATGCGCAATGCACATAAACTGGCACAATAGCAAAACGTTGTCTCTGTCGTTTCTCAATTGATGAAATGCAATAGAAAATCCCTGCGCCGCGAACATGTCTTAATTTATAATATATTACCTTGTGAAACCAGAAGATGGCGCTAGCTCTGCGACGCCTAGTTTTGTTGGTAAAAAGTATACTGTCAGGTATTGTGATGTGTACTGTGAAGTATTGCGACATGTACTGCGTAGTACTGCTATGGAATATGAGCGTTCTGTTAGGTATTGGCATGTAATGTATGTGCACTGTAAGGTATCGTGGGGTACGTTGACGGTATTGTAATGTACTCTTAATGTATTGTGGGCCATTTTGTACAGGTATTGTGAAGAGTGGAACACCGGAACACCCCTCGGTACCTACCTTGTGATTTTGATTTTGGAAAACTTTGAAAGGTCATAATTTTTTTTCTATTATAGATAGAAAGCTGACACTTTCACTGAATTTTATCCCTTTCAAAGGACTACAATCCCTGCAAATTTCAGCTCATTTGCACCAATAGTTCCTGAGATAAAATCGTGTTAAGCAATTTGGGGTGTTTTATCCATTTTTCAATTTTTCTGAGTGCCTTTTTTCATAGATTTCGGCTTCAAATCTGAGAATAATCTAGTGTATGGTGTTTGGGGGATCCCAAATGACAATGGGGTAGTATACAAGTGATTTTTAACTACTGCATAGTGATATACTCGACGTATCGTACTATTTAGTGTTATCAGTTGCTTTGTAAAAACCACAATACACTGGAATTTTTTTTTTTTTAATTTCCCCTTAGCCCCGCCCCTACGTGAAAATAAAAGTTCGTGACGTAGTAGACAGTAGACAGACCGTCAAGAACAAAACGTCAAATTTTAACGCCAAAACAAACCACGACATGGTCAGGTTCATCAGGACGTAGCGCTACAGTAGCGATCATCAACAATGTTGCCAGTTTATTACAAATGTAGCAAATCTATTACATTTATCAAAGGTTAATAGGGCAATCCTACCACCTGTCAAAAACAAATTCAAAATGCAGGTCAATGCCTTTTTATTTTTAAAAAATGCCGTTTTATTGCGATTTTTGATTTGTATAAAGTCTTAAACTGGTAATTTTTTGGAAAATGCATACTTTATGTATAGTACTTAGTTGTGAAAACCGTTCTAATCGCGAGAAAGTCTCGTTTCATGCCGTTCCTGCAGTGCAGAGACAAAACCCAGGTTTTTAACGGAGAAAAATGATTTATCTGTACTTTGTAAGGGCTTCATGGATTGTAGCAAAAAAGAAAAAAACTGATGAAATCCATATTTAAAAACCAAAAAGTCTCTCTACATAAACGGTGTATGGATCCAAGCCATGTACTAGGTATCCTCCACAACTTGTGTCGATACCTTGAATAGCAAACCAATAAAATAAAATATACATCAGGATT